GCTCTCTCCTTGTTCTCCACTTATCTTTCTCAGTGCACTTTCAGTGTCACATACAACTCCTCCTCCTCCGCTCCTCTTCCTGTTGAGGTACCCCAAGGTTCTGTCCTCGAGCCTCTCCTTTTCTCTCTATACACCTTCTCCCTGGGCCAACTGATAACCTCCCATGGCTTCCAATATCACCTCTATGCTGATGACACCCAGATCTATCTCTCCACTCCCCAGCTCACCCCTTCAATCTCCTCACGTATCACAAATCTACTAAGCGACATATCAGCATGGATGTCACATCAATACCTTAAACTCAATCTTTCCAACACTGAGCTTGTAATATTTCCTCCTCCCGGATTCCCCTCTCATGACTTTACCATTAAGATCAACAGCACAACCATTGGTCCTTCCCCTCATGCCAGGGTGCTAGGCGTAATCCTAGACTCTGACCTCTCCTTTGGGCCCAACATCCAATCACTGGCTAAATCCTGCCGCCTCAATCTCCGGAACATTTCCAAAATCCGCCCCAACATGACCAATGACAACACAAAACAACCTATCCACGCCTTGGTTTTATCCTGCCTTGACTACTGCTACTCCCACCTCACTGGTCTACTGTTACACAGGCTATCCCCCCTTCAGTGTATTATGAATGCTGCTGCTAGATTCACACACCTTACCAACCGATCGGCAACTGCTGCCACTCTCTGACAATCCCTTCACCACTATTCCACTAAACCCAACGTCTAAAATTCAAAATACTAACCACAGCTTACAAAGCCATCCACAACACTGCCCCTAGCTACATTGCCAACCTCATCCGCAGATAACGCCCAAATCGCCCACTTCGCTCTCCCAAGATATCTTCCTCTCCAACTCCCTCATCACCTCCTCCCACGCTTGCCTCTAGGACTTCTCCAGAGCCTCCCCCATCCTCTGGAAATCCCTACCACAGTATGTCCGGTCAGCGCCCACCCTGTCTGCCTTTAGGCGATCTTTGAAAACTCACTTCTTCAGGGAAGCCTACCCCACCTCCACCTAAGAACTGTAATTGAATCACCTCCACCAGATCATCCCCTGCAACTATCACCTTTTGTATCACCTCTCCGTTCCTTTAGATTGTAAGCTCCATGAGCAGGGCCCTCACATTCCTTCTGTACTGAAATGTATTTTAATTGTACTGTCTCCCTTATATTGTAAAACACTGCGCAAACTGTTGGCGTTATATACTTACCTGCTGTGAGCAAAAGTTTTGCACATAGCAGCCCAGATCCTCCTGTTCTCAGGTTCCCTGCAGGCTGTCCTGGTCCCTCCCATCGGGTGCCCCCACAGCAAGCAGATTGCTTTGAGGCACTCGGTGCTCTGTGTGTCCATTCACAAACGGAGCCACAGCTTGGCCCTACCCCCTCTCTCTTCTCATTGGCTCACTGGCTGTGATTAAAAGCAGTGGTAGCCAATGGCTCCAACTTCTGTCTCAGCCAATGAGGAAGGGAATCCCGGGATAGCCGAGACTCCAGTGTATATCGCTGAATGGAGAGGGGGCTTAGGTAAGTATTGGGGGGGGGGCTGGGGGGGCAACTGCACAGAGAAGATTTTTTACCTTCATGCATTCTATGAAAGCCTTCTAAAAAACCTTGAGCCTTTACAACCACTTTAAATTTTAACAGATAAAACCGTATTGAGTTAATAAATATTTGTACATTTTAAATGGAACCTTGCTGCAAAATGGTGAAAACTGAAGATACGAAAAACTATACTGTAAATAGGCAACTTGTGCTAAAAATCTAGAAATTTGCCTTCCATCTATGTGTGGTGATAATGCCCAATCCGTAGCACTGTATGTGCTCTGTGTTAGTGTGCTTTACAATAAAATGATAAAACATGGATTTTTTTGTAACACAGCACTGTGCAGTTACAATGTGTCACAATGCACTGCCCTGCAAATGATTAAAGCGACCATGAGCTTACTGCAGCCAATGTAAGGGATACTGAGCTGATCAGCTTCTTTTGTTTTCAACCGCCTCCTTTAATTTTTTTTTTTTTGTTGCTGTGATCCGACTTCCGGTGAAAGGGTGCCATGTTCGTTCACCATGGTCCCACTATATTTAGGAACACATCCACCCACTTTTGCTCACTCCGAGATGAACTGAAGACTATGGGCTGTGCAGTGCACATAGATCAGTGCACATGACTGCACCAGTAACTAGTGAATGTGTATGGGTAGTTTTGGAGACTAAGGATACGGTTTCCTATCACTGTAACTAATGCAACATACTTGTATCAAAACGGTAAATGAATGGGATGTCTTAACTCAATGCAAGTTAAAGGAGAAGTTCACCTTTTTTTTTTTAACACCCATATTCAGGATATAACCTGTACCAGGTTACTGTTGCAGAAGCCCCCATACCCCCCTGATCCCCCATTGTGACAGTAAGCCGGGGATTTTCTTCTTGCACTCGCTGTCACAATTTTGAATAAAAAAAATTTTTAAATGTGGTTGTGTGGGGCTTCTCTCACCCAGCTGTGTTATTAACAGAGTTCTGTGAATGGGAGAACTACAAGTACTGATCGCCTTTGTGGCTGTTGGCTTGTAGTTCTCAATGAACTACCGGGGTGCGGCTGAGTGCTCTAGGTAGTTCACTGATGCTTCCTGTCAGTGTGTAACTGCCTGCCCGTATGAGGTACGAGCAGACAGCCTACACTGACAGTCTGCAAGAGCCCTGCCATTGCACTCATGATCTGCAATTCACAAGTGCAGAGCTTTGCAGGCTCCTAGTAAAAAAAAAAAAAAAAAAAAATGCACATTTTACCTGCAAAAAGATGTGTATTTTTTTTTTTTTTTTTAACAGACTTCACAACATACTGCGGGAGTGTGAACCAAGCCCAAAGCCTTGTACAAACAGGCATTTCTGCATTCACCTTAAAGCTTCAAGATGCATTTGAAGAGTGTGCTACATGCGCACATTGGTAGGATATGACACATGCTGGAGGAAGAAAACAAGACGTGCTGTATTTGGATAGGTTCAGTATCTATTTGTGTACAGGCTTCTTGTATTAGGCACAATACTCAATTTTCCCATTATGCCACTTAGTGACCACACAGCAATAAAGCAAACCTCATTTGCTGAAGGTTTCCATAAACAGCACTAGACATATGAAAACAAAACAAACACCATGCTGTTTTAGGTCTCATTTCACACAAGATGCAGCAAAACGTACAGCCATGTGATGGTCATCTTTGCCCATATGGGACGCATAGGTGTTCTGTGAATCCAATCATGTCAACTGCGACGCAGCCACCACACAGACACAGCTGCTGGTCCCAGTTTGACAAACACTATATTGCCAAAAGTATTGAGGCGCCTGCCTTTACAGGCACATGAACTTTAATGGAATTCCAGTCTTAGTCCGTAGGGTTCAATATTGAGTTGGCCCACCCTTTGCAGCTATAACAGCCTCAAGTCTTCTGGGAAGGCTGTCCACAAGGTTTAGGAGTGTGTCTATGACTGTTCCCACAAAGTTGGGAGCATAAAATTGTCCAAAATGTCTTGGTATGCCGACACCTTAAGAGTTCCCTTCACTGGAACTAAGGGGCCAAGCCCAACCCCTGAAAAACAACCCCACACTATAATCCCCCCACCAAGCTTTACACTTGATACAATGCAGTCAGGCAAGTACCTTTCTCCTGGCAATTGCCAAACCCAGACACATCCATTGGATTGCCAAACAGAGAAGTGTGATTCATGACTCCAGAGAACATGTCTCCACCGCTCTAGAGTCCAGTGGCAGTGTGCTTTACGCCACAGCATCTGACGCTTTGCATTGCACTTGGTGATGTAAGGCTTGGATGCAGCTGCTCAGCCATGGAAACCCATTCCATGAAGTTCTCTACGCACTGTTATTGTGCTACTCTGAAGGCCACACAAAGTTTGGAGGTCTTTAGCTATTGACTCTGCAGACAGTTGGTGCCTTCTGTCACTATGCGCTTTAGCATGTGCTGACCTCACTCTGTCATTTTACGTGGCCTACCACTTCGTGGCTGAGTTGCTGTTGTTCTCAGTTGCTTTCACTTTGTTAGAATACCACTAACAGTTGACCGTGGAATATTTAGTAGCAAAGAAATGTCCTGGATGGGACTTATAGCACAGGTGGCAACTTATCACGGTACCACGCTTGAATTCACTGAGCTCCTGAGCGCGACCCATTCTTTCACAAATGTTTGTAGAAGCAGTCTGCATGCCTAGGTGCTTGATTTTATACACCTGTGGCCATGGAGGTAATTGGAACACCTGATTCCAATGATTTGGAAGGGCGTCCCAATACTTTTGGTAATATAGTGTATGCGCAGTTGCGGGTTTGTGTCCCTGAAAACGGACCGGATGCCTTTGGGGACATGCACCCTCATGGATGTCAAACTGGGAGCATCACCTGTCTCTGTGCACCTGCTGCATTCGAACTAACAAGAATGGGACTGCCTGTACGAGGATGCACAGAGCACCTGCACATCTCCTGCAGACAAAGATGGCCCTTGCACTGGTGTACACATTAATACTCCCAGTGTGAACGAGGTCTTATAAATGGGGGGGGGGATTATCACTTGATACAGTTTATCTATAATACTGCAGCTTAGTAATCCTTTGATGTATCAACTGGATTCTTTTTTTATTCTTCACCTGTGATCCTGCAACGAACACACATCCTGTCCTGAGTGACAACAGGAGATGTGTTAGGACTCCCCACACCCTCTTCTCCACAGCACTGCAGAAGGTGTTTTTAGTTCACATGGGTGACTTAGACAGGGCTGATAACTCTGCTTTGGATAACAGTGCAGAGCACAGACATCACAAGCTCAACTGATTTCTGATCAGATCTAACAAACATACCTTTGGCTCTTTTCCCTGCAAATGTTTCCTTAAAAATGCATCTGCTTTCTTCTCTGTTACCTTACAATGGCTGAATTACGTCTGCCACATAGCAAAGCCTTGAAGTCTCATGAACAAGAAAACACTTACCGAGTTTGGCTATGCCCTCTATAGCGGAGAGTGTAGGCTGCAGGGTGCCGCTCTGAGCTGCTCCTTCACATGGTCTCTGGCTGACTTTACTCTCAGCAGAAGATGAAGCTTCACATGTCAGCTTGCGGCTGGGAATAGCTGGAAAAACACAAGTCCACGGATTAAAAACATTCACACATCCCAATCTAAGCAACAAGGTTATTTTAAATCTAAATTGAATTTAAAGCTTAAAAAAGAAAAAAAAAAAAACTAAAACATTGAAAGCAGATGTGTATGCCTGCAATCAATAATCACTAATTGTGCTTTCTGTCTGTATTGCTCATGAAAGCAGATGGACACAATTTAAACACTTGGACAATTAAGTCAGTTTACATATAAAGATGGCCCTTTTCAGATGGGGCGAACTCTGTTTCCATCAGCAGGGGATCCGCTCACAGATCGCTTGCTGATCAGAGCTGAGCGGGCAGATGACAGATCCGTGTCTGATTAGTTTATGTGGAACAGACATGGATAGAGCCTGCTCTGCACTATGGGCACAGCTGGGTGTAAATAGACTCTGCTATCCATTTACACTCCACTATCATCTGATCTGCCTAAAAACGGAAGAGGATGGCCTGGAGGAAGGCGGTGACACAAGTCCGTTTACACCTGCCTGTCCATAGGCATGCTTGGACCATCCGATCAGGTCCATCTATTAACTTACAAGCAGATCTGATCAGACCCACTGTGTGAAAGGGGCTTATTTCAATTATGCAATTAGTGGTGTCTAATTCTGCTTTAAAAATATTTGTTTTCCTATATATTCTAGTTATCTAGGTACGTTAAGAAAAAAAAAAAAAACCTGTATTTTAAAATATGCTACTATACCTGCCTCAGATATGATTATGCAGACTGATAAGTATTCTTTAGACTTTATATCTTTGCACAATAATACCAGTTTAATATGTTTTCAGCCAATGGGAGACGAAAGAGGTAGTATTTAAAGTGGACCTTTACCCATAACATTGTGATAAAAACAATGTTCTTTAGCAAGAAACATACATTCCACAATAATTATGCTACCAATATGAATGTGTGCTGTAACCTGCCTCCAGCATTGCTCCTGTTTCTTTTTGCTGGAGGCTACCATTTGGCTTAAAACCAGAGTCCTGAGCAGCAGGAGATCTTTAGGCTATCAGCAGATTGAATTCTACAAATTCGGCACAGTGCCAGAAAACTGAGAGCAACTGTGCCAAGCGGGTGTGACAATGCATTACTGGATATTAAAACAGTATAGACTCTTATTTTTAATGTTTTACATAGCTATACCTGCAAAAAAGGGGTCAGTATGAAGTAATCTAGCAGGACCTAATTTTCTGACTAAAGTCCCAATTTAAGAAGCTTTGCATACATGGAAAAGAATGCAAATTCTGCGTAAACAGCGCTAACACCGCCTCACCCAATTCACTTGAACAGGAACACCGGTGAATGATTTAGACTTCTGCAAGCCATGACAAAAGGAAACGTCTTAGCAAAAAGCATTGGCACAATCCTTGATTGTAGTTTATGGTCATAAATGGCCAAAATTCAGCCCAACAGAGATGCTAATGCATTTCAGCCATTAGAGCTTTAAATTATAATTAAAGGCAATATGACCAGGGATTCCCTTACCTTGGAGGGATTTCCTCTCACTTTCTGCTTTAGCTATGGGACAGGAAGTGAGGGGAAATCTCCCTAATGGTACACAGATGGAAAATAAAAAAAAATCTGACATGGGTTATAACCCTTGCTCTATCGACTATAAAAAAAAAAAAAAAAAAAAAAAAAAAAAAAGGGAAGAAGTTTTGCCTTTAGTTCTACTCGAACCACTTGTGGACCGCACCACTTACATATACAGTGGCAGCTTTACACTGGATCACATACCTAGAACGTGGTCTGCTATTCTGGGTTGGGGGCGCGCATGCCCACCGCCCTCGCTGTGTTGTGATTTGACACAGCACAAGTCGATCAGCAGGTCCCAGCCAATCCGCGATGGCTGGGACCTGCTGATTGGCTCAGCGAATCACAGAACAGTGCCCAGTGTTGATAAGCACTACTGGGACTGTACACTGAGAAGTGACCTTGCTGTTGTTTTTTTTTAAAGTGGTTAATGCCATAATGGCTGAAACATGTTAGTATCTCAAATACAGTTAGTAACTGTTGGGCTAGATTTTAGCCATTTATGATAACTACATTCAAGGACTGATCTAGAGCACTGGTTCTTTTTGCTATGAAGAATGTAAACTTACCGAATTTTAAAAGTCAATCCACCTAAAACCTATTTGTATTCTGACAGATAATGGACAGGTAAACCAAGTGACATCTTTTGTTATGCATCAGGGACCCCATATATATTGTAGAAGGTGGTGGGAGGAGTGGGTACATCCAAGAACACGCACATTTAAGCAGAAGGAATGCAATTCCAAGGTAGGCAGGAACAGGCAATTACCATGGCTGGAAGATCTAGTCACTAAAATCCTCCAGCAGGTAGACTGACAGCTGAAAGAAAGAGGGTGGAACATAGCCTGAGAGGGTGCAGTAATTCGGGTCCATTCACAGATTGCAGCGGGTGCACTTTACAGTGTGCATAATGCACGCATGCATGATGCTGTATTACTAGAATGCATTTCTTGAAATTTTATTTACACTTCCTCAACTCTATGCACAACTGTGCAGAAACACAGATGCTGCATTTTTATGCAACTCAACTGTAAGGTGTGAACAGGGAACATAGAAAACAATTGGCTTCTCTGTGTCCTAGGTTGAGCCTAGGTTGAGCCTAGGTTGAGCCTAGGTTGAGCCTAGGTTGAGCCTAGGTTGAGCCTACATTGAGCGTACCTGGTGTAGATACCCAACTCTCAGCTTGGGCAGAGGTCTCATGTACAGTCTGGGTTTAGAACTCAAGGAGCTCCACAGGGATCACATGAAGACTAAAACAGGTATTTGTAGGCACTACTGGGTGCTGCACTACTGGGGTGCTGCACTAACTTAGAAACTTTCAGGTCAAGTGAGACTCACCTTTATATTTCACTGACAACATTCTCATTTGCAGCCACGTTTTTTACATATGATGCACACAAAGTAGTTGTGGTCAAGAGTCTTTAAAACTAGGCTCTGTGGAAACCAAAAAATGTGTGAAGACACCCTTACCCCTTACCCAAATGGCGGCAGCTGTGGCAATTGCCTGAATCAAGATTATACTACACCCTGTTCCAAATTATTATGCAAATGATATCTTTCTCATTTACCTAAATAATTGATGTAAATAACAGTCAGCATAATTCTCATGTTATCAACTATTAGGAGTACAATTCACATTTTATTGAACAAACCTCCTAATGATAACAGGATTTTTGTTAAACATAAAACACTTACAATGCACTGTTCCAAATTATTCCACACAGTAAGTTTCAAAACACTTTATAGGTTGTAAAGAACTGAAAATTGTCATTTGTTGTGTTTTGCAGCATATTTACTGAAATCAAAAGCTATTTCAATCAAACTTTTAACAACATTTTAACTTTTTAAACATTTTAACAGGTCACGTTACATTGTAACATAGGACCCCTTATTTGGTAGCAGCTTCACAAGTCTTGCATCCATTGAACTTGTGAGTTTTTGGACAGTTTCTGCTTGAATTTGTTTGCAAGATGTCAGAATAGCCTCCCAGAGCTGCTGTTTGGATGTAAACTGCCTCCCACCCTCATAGATCTTTTGCTTGAGGATGCTCCAAAGGTTCTCAATAGGATTGAGGTCAGGGGAGGATGGAGGCCACACCATGACTTTCTCTCCTTTTATCCCCATAGTAGCCATTGATGCAGAGGTATTCTTTGCAGCATGAGATGGTGCATTGTCATGCATGAAGATGATTTTATTAGGGAAAGCATAGTTCTTCCTTCAGTCCCAGGAAAGAAAGTGGTCAGTCATAAACTCCACATACTTTTCAGAGGTCATCTTTACACCTTTGGGGACCCTAAAAAGGGGCCGACCCACTCTGTTCCCATGATTCCGGCCCAAAACATGACTCCACCACCGCCTTGCTGACGTCGCAGCCTTGTTGGAACAGGGTGACCGTCCACCAACCATCCACTACTCCATCCATCTGGACCGTCCAGGGTTGCACGGCACTCACCAGTGAACAGGACTGTTTGAAAATTAGTCTTCATGTATTTTTCTGCCCAATGCAGCCGTTTCTGCTTGTGAGCATTGGTTAGTGGTGGCCAAATAGAAGGTTTATGCACAGTTGCAAGACTCTGGAGGACTCTACACCTTGATGTCCGTGGGACTCCAGAGGCACCAGCAGCTTCAAATATCTGTTTGCTGCTATGTAATGGTATCTTAGCAGCTGTTCTCTTGACCCGATGCATGGACCTGGCAGAAATCTTCCTCAATGTGCCTTTATCTGCACGAACCCATCTGTGCTCTGAATCAGCCACAAATCTCTTAATAGTGCGATGATCACGCTTAGGTTTTCGTGAAATATCTAATGTTTTCATACCTCGTCCAAGGCACTGAACTATTTCACTATTTTCGGCAGCAGAGAGATCCTTTTTCTTCCCCATATTGCTTGAAAATGGTGCCCTGCTTAATAATGTGGAACACCCTCCTTTAGTAGTTTTTCCTTAAATTGGGCTCACCTGCCAATCTAATTATCACAGGTGTACGAGATTGTTTTCAGTGATCAAAAGAGCCCTGAGACACAATGCCATCCATGAGTTACACTGAAAAACAAAATATTTCATCTTTGTGACACTTAAATAGAATTTGCATTATAATTTGGAACAGGGTGTATATATAACTGCACTCTGAGTTATTTACTGCCTACCAGAGGCTCATCAGTGAGACATTCTTATGTTTTAGCCACAGGCTAAAAAGCTGAATAAGTAGTACACACCTTCATGAATGGTTTTGTCTGTCAAAAAAATTTATAGAGCAATCTTGTGATTCAACAGTGCTATGCGGAAGGTATAAACACTTTTCAGGCCTCGCAATTTTGCAGACTGTGTTACTGCGCCGCCTCCTACGTATTTTTTTTTTTAATGCTGTTTACATAATCACCCTGAGATCTCCCTCTACACACCCAGCAAAAAAACTTGCCCATCAGCATAAAAAGCTGACACTACCAGCTGCAGTCTGCAAGGCACAATGACAGCTAAGCTAGTATATGATCTCTATTAAAGACATAATCAGAAATCAATTAGAGTGACTCACAATCATTCATCTAAGACCAGCACTCAAATCTGCACTAGAAAATAAACAGTTGTAACCCAATTTTCTGCTCTGAAACAACACATACAATACGTATTGCGCACACTGCGGTGTAAAATGGTGTAATCGTTATTTTAAAAATTCAGGTAAAATTAATTTCAGCCAGTAAAACAGGAGAGATCTCTAATGACACTGAAAAGTATGGAAAATATAAAAACTGCTTTACAGTCCACTTAATAGGAACAGACTCCGACCATTAAAGTCATTATTTTAATTCACATTATTAATTCGGCATTTACTGAAATAACCTTTAAAAAAAAAAAAAAAAAAAAAGAAGGAGGACAAGTCTCTCCAATATATGAGAAGAAAAGTCACTCTGCACTTATTTATTCCATTAATTATTGAATTAATACTAAAAAACTGGGGCTGGACTATGTTCGATCCCTGAAAAATGCCGTATCTAATAGCGAATATCTGCATAGTTGTGTAGTCATGAAACTTTCCTTTTCACTCCCTAGCAGGTAGAGTAGGGTTCTGCTTCAAGTACAGCACATGATAATTTTTTAAAAATTTGCACTGACAGGCAACTTCTGAAAACCAGTTTCTGGGAGTTCAATCCCTTTCATTTAATTCCAGCATCTATTCATATTCAAAGATTTAGCAAAATGCTTTGACAAAATTTAACACTTTGCAAAATTTAGGGAAAAGTGAAAAACAACCTGTGGTAAGCAAGCCAGATAGCCAGTGGGCTATGAACAACTGCTCTGGTTGTACAGTTGGCCCAAGAAATGATTTGCATGGCTCTGCAAACATAAGAAATAAACAGCAGGGATTTGTGAGTGGGATATTGAATGAGAAAGGGTAAAGTCACAATGGTCAACAATGTATCTGACAACAACTAGAAAACAAAGAATCAATTTCCAATCTTTATATTCTAAATTACGATCACAACTTTTGTTACCTTCTTTTCACACTTCTCTACATTCATAAAACATATCTTAAAGCAGAACTTTACCCATAACAACTTGATAGAAAATAATGTTCTTTAGCCAGGACCATATATCCCACATAAATAAATATGTCATTATGCTTTCAAAATGAGTGTGTGCTGTAAATTGCCTCCAGCATTGTTCCGGTTTCTTTTTGCAGGAAGCTGCAATTTTGCTGAAGCCCAAAGCCCCTGACCTGCAGTAAATCTTTAGGCTGTCAGCAGATCAGCCTCTACATTTTAGGCACAGTGCCAAAAAATAGAGATACATTGAGCATGTGCAGAGCAAGGTGAGACAGTGTATTACTGGATTTTAAACATAGGTACCTATTTTTAATGTTTTACATAGCAATTTATGCAAAAGTAGACAGCCTGAATTGATCTAGCAGGACTTAAATTTTCTGACTAACGTTTCACTTGCCCAACTGAAAGTCAGCTAAATATTTTCTAGGTGCATCAAAACAGAAGGTGTCCAAATTCTTACAGTTTGTTACAAACCAGCCACAGCCTGAGTAGAAAAGCCTGTTCCATGCCAGCATGCTACAGAATGGGACTTGTATGGAAGTATCAGTATCTCTGCAGAGGCCATACACTTTCCCTACTGAGTGAAAACTGAGTAAGAACTAGAGCTCTCCAATCAGAAGGGAGCATAAGCATTCCTGATTGCACAGCTATCAGTCTGACTCAACAAAGCACACGAAGAGAGAACAATGGCTCCACATGGAAAGGAAGGGTCCCACTCTGCAGCATGCTGCCAGGGGACAGACTTTTCTACTCAGACTGTGGCCGATTTAGAAACAGAATAAACTGTAAGACATTGACAACCTTTTGTTATTTTGATGCACCTGAAATGTATTTAGCCAATTTACACCCAAGGTTCTATTGTGCTTTAAGATGATAAAAAAAAAAAAAAAAGTAAAAAAAAGTTACCTGGAGGAGGTAAATAGCCATGAAATAAGACACAGCCACAAGATGAGCGTTCCAGTTCTTCACATAGCAACAATCTTCTTACTGAGAAAATAAGTGACAAACCAAAGTCAAAAGAGACATTACAAGCTCCTAGAAAAATGAAACAAGAATGTCAGTCAGGGGCAACAACGGTCCCTTGTACCCTACAGTATATCTCTTCACACTGAATATTGGATTCTATTATAAAATGAACATTCAGCCCCATGCTGGAACATGAGAGCTTACAACCTTCTTAGTAACAGTCATTGATATGGACTCTGACTCCTATGTACTACACAGTGTTAATTTGTATACAGTACATACATACATACTAGGGGGGGTACAACTGGGGGAATCAATGGTGGAGAAGGATCTGGGAGTTCTGGTAGATCACAAGCTTAATAATGGCATGCAATGCCAAGCTGCGGTTTCTAAAGCGAGCAAAATCCTCTCTTGTATTAAAAGAGGTATAGACTCCAGAGAGAGATATCATATTACCCCGGTACAAATCATTAGTAATACCTCATCTGGAATATGCAGTTCAATTTTGGGCACCAATTCACAAAAAGAATATTGGGGAACTGGAGAAAGTACAGAGAAGGGCAACCAAACTGATAAGAGGCATGGAGGAGCTCAGCTATGAGGAAAGATTAGTGGAACTGAATTTATTCTCTTGAGAAGAGGAGATTAAGGGGGGATATGATCAACATGTATAATACATAAGGAGGGGATATGATCAACAAGTATAAATACATCAGTGGTTCATATACACAGAATATAACTGGATACTAATATTTATAGGTAAAGTTGATCCAGGGAATATCTGATTGCCTCTCGGGAGATCAGGAAGGAGTTTTTTTCCCTGCAGGAGCAAATTGGATCATGCTTTGCTGGGTTTTTTTTTTTGCCTTCCTCTGGATCAACTTTGGGTGTAGGATTATAACAGTTTTTTTTGTTTTTTTATGGTTGAACTGGATGCACATTTGTCTTTTTTCAGCCAGACTATGTAACTATGAATATTAGATATTTGTGTATTGGCCTGTGTTGATGGGCTTTTGTTTGCTTTAAACAGGTTTTGCACTCCCAGACAAGTCTATGGCAATGCAACACACACTTACTTGCATGCAGGCCAGAAGCAAATCAGCTGCAGGTCAAAAAGCCCCTCTCAGTGAATTCTAAATTCTCTCAAACCAATGCCACACAAGCACAAAGCCCATCAACAAAAGCATTATATCAGAGAATAACAGTCAGCTCCTTTAGGAACACGAAAGCTGACAACCTTTACAGTGATTATTTTTATTTACAAGAGCGTTGATTCACTTTACCTATATGCTTTATATTACTGTAATAACATGTAATGGATAGTTAAAGCAAAGGTTCACCTTTCATAACATGTTGCTTTACCAGAGAAAGCCTCTATTACTCGTATTCATCCCAGAGGTAATCAGTAGAGTTGAAGCGATTCTAAATGTTTTTTTTTTTTTAAATAACAAAACATGTCTATACTTGCCTACTATGTGCAGTGGTTTTGCACAGAACAGCCTGGATTTTGCTCTTCTCGGGTCCCCACGCAGGCTCTCCTGACTCCTCCTGTCTGTTGGGGCCCCCGCAGCAAGCAGCTTGCTATGGGGTCACCCGCTGCTCCTTGTGTCCATTCACACATGGAGTTGTGGCTTGGCCCCGCCCACTCTCTCTCCTCATTGGCTGACCAGGCCCAGACTGGCCATAGGGAACACCAGTATTCGCCCTGTGGGCCTGGGCCACCTGGATAGGAGGGGCAGCTGGGTGGCACATAGAGGAAGCAACCTGTCCATTTCTCTCCTGTGGCCACTGAATGCCTACTTCTCCTCCTCTCTCTCCTGCGGGCATTCAGAGGCAGCAGGAGAGAAATGGATGGATCGGTTCCTTTATGTGCCACCCCGCTGCCCCTCCTATCCATCTTCTTTTTGCTGTCCCTGGGCCCCTGTGCTCTTTCCCAGAGAGACATCGCCGGTCTGCAGGAGAGAGATGTGCGGCAGTAGGGGAGAGGAGTGAGATCTGTGGTGGGGGAGGCTGGAGCAGTGTTAACAGGAGGATGGGGGGGCCCGGGGCCAGTACAGGTCAGGTGTCGATGGCAGTGTTAGCTGAGGGCTATTACAGTGAGGGATGCTGGGCGTGACTGAGGACATGGCTGGGCACACAGAGGAGATATAGAGCTGACTGACTTCTGTGTGTGCATATATCAGTATATAATATACAACGAGGAATATATGCGAGCGCAAAATATCAACAGCAACTAGCATTAAAAGGTAAACCTCTAGACCTCCAAATAATATAGTAAAATATAAATGCAGCGCTAAAAGTGATAATATTAAAATGATAGATGATACACGGTGAGCACTAATAAAGCGCTTATAAAGTGATAACGTGATAAATGGTCTCTTAATGACGTCTTAAAAGAGTATAAAATCAATAGATAAAGTGACTGTAGAGCGTCATACAATGCAAATCAAGTCCAGAAAATTAGGTGATCCTATATGGTGAGGGCCAGTAATATGAATGCACTCACGAGAAGCGCACAGAAAATACGCATGTATGTAAACATCCAACAATGGCTCATCCCTTTGATAACGTGCTGGTGCACGAAACACGTCAGTGAGGAGCCTACCAGAGTGACGTCACGCCACACACACGGCCACCAGGAAGGCCAGCAGCCATTTTACATATCATTTCATTCATGTGAGTTTTTTATTACAGATTTTTCTGGAAACTTCAAATAAGTACTACACTATCAGTACCCATTTGTCTCTGTCTCGTGATATGCGAGCCCCTAAGGTGGATATCTCCCCCAATCTTTGATGCTTCTGATCTGGTGGTCTGATACTTACGTGGAGCTGTCCCTGTGATATCCCTGGTTTGATGGTCTGATGAAAACATGGAGCTGTCCCTGGGAACAGAGTGTGCCCTTTGAGAGTGGTGTTACTCTGTTTGCCTTGAGTGTGCCTGATGACCCCGCAGTCCTAGTCCAGACCCCGATGACCATTGTTGGATGTTTACATACATGCGTATTTTCTATGCGCTTCTGGTGAGTGCATTCATATTACTGGCCCTCACCATATAGGATCACCAGCACGAATCACCTAATCTTCTGGACTTGATTTGCATTGTATATGACGCACTACAGTCACTTTATCTATTGATGTTATACTCTTTTAAGACGTCATTAAGAGACAATTTATCACGTTATCACTTTATAAGCACTTTATTAGCACTCACCATGTATCATCTATCATTTTAATATTATCACTTTTAGCGCTGCATTTATATTTTACTTTATAAAAGTGTATGTACTGTGCCTGCATTCCTATACTGACTGGGATATTGTTAGGAATGGACTGGCCAGCAATGGTGGGACTCACCTGCCTTTTGATCTGCAGTACCAGGGCTGGCCAGCGGGTGCTCCCAGCAATCAGAGACTCAACCTTTCAGCCAGCTAACACCTGGAACTGATGATACTGGTGTATTTAAGGGATGGCCAGACTTGCAGACTCTGCCTTGGTGTTGTGTTTGTCCTGGGCCCTGTATCTGTCCTGCATCCTGTTTCTGTTCCTTTGCTGACTTCTCCTGCTCTGATCCTGGCTTGTGACCCTGACCATCCCTCTGTCTGACCCTCTGTACTACGCTGCTTGCTACCTGTTCTGATCCCTGGCTTGTGACCCGGACCATCCCTCTGCCTGACCCTCTGTACTATGCTGCTTGCTACCTGCTGAACCTGGCCTGTGACCCCGACCATTCTCCGCTTGCTCCCCCTGTACCTACCTGCCCAATTGATATTGACCCGGCCTGCCTGACGACGCTTGCATTGTATGTACTGTTATCTGTGGGTGGTTTGGTTTGGTTTGTTTGCACTGTATTATGTTTTAGTATTGCACTGCGTTTATGTTTGTACTGTTAGTGTTAATAAATTATATTGTTTATAACATATCTGAGGTCTGCGTTTCCCTGCTTCAGTCACACACCTCTGGTCATACCTGGGAGCCCTGACAGATATATACAGAATATATAATCATAGTTCGTGTGAATGAGCCCTTAAGTGTGGGCGTTGGTTGGGGGGTGGTAAAAGCACATCTCAACCACATAGGGGAGCAGGGGTTACCACCCATCAACCGCTAGTGTGAGTGAGCCCTAGCTGAATGTTTTTATGTATTATGTTATTTCAAAAAAAGAAAAAAGTTTTTAAGGTTCAGTAATGTGCCTCCTCCCACACAACACTGCTGGTTTACCCCCTCCCCTCTCCCACCAGCTGCTGCGGGGGATCTGTCAAGATGCAAAGCGAGGAAAGAGGATGGTAAAATATGTCATTTACCGGCTCCTTCCTTGTCTGAATGGACAGTCAGTGATCAGTACCGATCACGGACTTTGTCCATGCATAGCCTAGGAATAGTAAACAGTGTTTACTATACTTCAATTTATGAATAAACTGGAAGCCTCTGTAAAGAGCTATTGCTGTCCATTCGATTAGTGCAGCTGAGGCTGCAGAGAAGTAGATAGATGGCTGTCTCTCCAAAAGTGAGATGTCAGGGGTCTGAGATGCCACCGGAATACAAGGGAAGGGGTCGGGGCTGCTCAGTATAAAATGCTCGGACCTATTTTTTGTCCCAGTCCAGGCCTGGGCACAACCATGCTGGAACAGACAAGGGCCTTCCCTAAATTGTTTCCATGAAGTTGTATGCAAACAATTGTCTAAAAGGCCTTTGCATATTGTGGCATTAGTAGTACCCTTCACCTGGAAACACCTAAATGTAATCATCGGAAGAGGTGTCACCATACTACAGGTCACACAAAGTAGATGGGATTTTAAAAATGAGGCAAGAACATTTTAAAAATAAAGTTATTTGGGTTAATCTTGGTTAACTCGTATACTGAGGGGCATTCTGTTACACTGGAGCTGCATTCACAATCTAACTGTAATAATCACAGATGACTTTCTGAAACCATGCTGCAAACATACCCAGAGGGGTGATTCCATAGAATTCAGCTTCATGGGCGCAGAACGTTAAGGCTCACTCCCCTAAAAGAAACAAAAGAAAGGTTACACTGGTTTACAGAGACAGGACAACAAACTGCTCTAGTCCCTGCAAATCAAAGGGGCATCGCCTGGACTCACAGCCCCCTTATTCCTTCCTATTACACTAATATATGTTCTATGATTAAAATTACTATATTAGATGCTAATTTTACATTTCTTTAATCATGTAGAATAAGAAGAATAACTCAGGCAGTGTTTACTTCCTGGAATCCATCTGCCCTTAGCTCAGGCATGGATGTAGAAGGGCATGCTTAACTGAGAAAGCCGCTCCTCCAGACAAAGAAAAAACAAACAAACAAACACACACACACACACACACACACACACACACACACACACACACACACACACACACACACACACACACACACACACACACACACACACACACACACACACACACACACACACACACACACACACACACACACACACACGGGATGAATTATATTATTTTGGCCTAGGCCAGGAACCAACTGAAGAAAGAAAAAAAAAAAGTTTCAAACAAGTATATATAATATGCTTCCCATCTATTCACTAATGCTAGCATCATAAGGATTAAAGTGTTAGTAAACCCAAAACAGTAAAATCAGTCTGTAGATGCAGTAAAGCATGCTTGTTATACTCACTGTGGAACCTAAGGGGTTAATCCTCTGCATTGTGTAAAAAGGCTGCCTGATCCTGAATTCTCTGATCCTCCCCTACTTCCAGTGTCCCTCTCTTATCTACTGATAGGACATATGGTGTGAAGACACTCTGCGCAAGCGAAGTTTGGTGTGTGTTGCTAGAGAGGTTTTTTTCTTGGGAGAGTGCATGTGATCAGCACAGGGCCAATCAGCACTGTCCAGATAGAGATCAGGGGTTCTGCTTCGTTTACTAACAGTCCTCCTCCCTATCGGCTCGGGCACACTGCTCTGAGCAGTGTGCTTACAGAGAAGCATCAACACACCGCTCCCCAGTAAAACACTGCCAGCACACAGTTAACCCTTTGATTGTCCCACATGTTAACCCCTTCCTGCCCAGTGCAATTAGTACAGTGTCAGTGCTTTTTTTTTTTTTTTTTTTTTTAGCACTGATCACTGTATTGGTGTCACTGGGGATGTCAGTGACACCAAGTCAGTTCCCCCCATGCTCAGAATGCCCACTGCAGCCCCGCTATAAGTCGCTGATTGACGCCATTTCTAGTAAAAAAAGACAAAAAAAAAAAAGGAAAAAGAAATTCCAGTATCTATACCGCCATTTGCAAACGCTATAACTTTCAAGTAAACCAATTAATTTACACGTATTGGGTTTTTTTTTTTTTTAGCAAAGACATGCAGCAAAACACATTTTTGAGTAAATTTATGATGAAGTTTGATTTAAATTTTTTAACTGGACATGTTTAATAGCAAAAAGTAAAAAATATTGTTTTTTTCATAGCTCAAAAAACAAATGCACAGGTGATCAAATAGCACCAAAAGAAAGCTCAATTTGTGGGAAAAAAAGGTCGTAAATATAATTTGGGTGCATCGTTGAACGACCGCGCAGTTGTCAGTTAAAGTAAAGCAGCGCCGTAACGCAACAAATTGCCTGGTCAGGAAGAGGGGTAAATCCTCAGGAGGGCAAGTGGTTAATTACACATTGCAAATAAGCCCAGCAGAGAAGTAAATGCAAGGATTAATCTCCTACCTTAAGTCAAGTTCCTTTGTGCGAAGAAAATTCAGAATAGGTGCAAAAGCAGTTGGATCTCGATCAATAAATATCTTTAATGAAATACAAAAAAAGCCTTATAAATAGCCAGAAATTACCAGTACAATTGTTCATTTTAATAGCATGCTATTAGCCTAATACCAAAAAACGAAGCCTTCCTATTTCTGCATATACTTTTTATAGAGGCCAGTAAAGTTAATAGACCTTCTAACATATTCATGACAAAAACACTTAGAAAAGAATTTTTAACTAAAAGGCAATATATTTCAAGTCTACTACAGCGCCATTAGAAGCTTTTCTCCTTACACTGCACAATGCAGACAGACTGCTGCAAGAGTAAAGAGAACCTGTCACCTTGGTTGATTCAGGGTAAAGTGACAGCATCTGTGTATATCCATCCTGACCACTTTATTATCATCTCTCTGATGCTCCCCGAACACTCGTTTTTCTGTTCCACTACTGCAAAATACCTAATGCTTTTGTACATGGGATAAACATGTGATCCTCTCCCCATGATGCAGTACTCAGGCCTAGCAGCCAATCACTAGACATCAGCGCTGTCACATGACATTGGGAGTGATGCCCCTGCTCCCTTTGAGCTCTGACAAAAGACACACAGGTGAGTCTTTATCCCTTTCGCTGACAAAGCCATTTTATGCATAAACGTTCAAATGCACATTCTAGACCTGATGATTAGTTAACAGCCCCAAATATTATGCATTTACTAAAAGCAAAGACTCTGGAGAATAAAATGGTGGCAGTTGTAATGTTTTATGGCATGCGATAATATCACAACTGTTTATCAAACCCGACATATTTTCAGTAAGAAATACACTAAGGTTAGCCAATTTTTGGAAAAATATAAAAGATGGGGCTGCATCAAGTAAATAAATTCTCACCATGTCAAGTCTCAAAATGACTTGCCTGTGAAACATCAAATTTTGGTACCCCAAATTGTTAATAGGCAGAGCTTTAAAAGCCTTTACAGGTCATCCGTTTAAAGTGGTTCTAAGGGTTCTCGCTGCTATCAATCACAGCCAGTGAGCCAATCGGGGGGGGGGGGGGGGGGAAGAGTCGCAGTTCTTAGTGTCCTATGGAGGCATAGAGCAGCGGCTCAAGAGCAAGCACGCAGTGGTGCCTCAGGGCAAGCAGCTTTCTCTGGAGGCTCTGTCCAAGGGAGAGGAGCCAGAGGGCCGGCGGGAACCCAAAAGAAAAGAAGATCGGGGAAGCTGTGTGCAAAACTACTGCACAGAGCAGGAAAGTATGCCATGTTTGTTATTTGATTTAAAAAAAAAAAAAAAACCAAAAGTTTTATGCAGGCCATACATGGTTCGAATGCTGAACAATTTTTCTTTCGAAAATCGAAAACGTTGTTCACTCGGTAATCCAATGGTGACATCAATGATTTAGAAAAATCGGTCGACCAAGTCATAGAGTTCACCCCATATAACAGGCGAAACTTCTGTTCCTTCCTGGTCACAGATCATGCACATATTCTTTTCGGAAAAACGATCGTACGATTTGACCATCGTTGAGTCGAAAATCGGTTGTTTTTCACGAATTTTCCAACATGCCCGATCACCGAAAAGGGGAGGAACCACGAAAAATCGTCCGGTGCCATTGACCCACTAACAGAGCGAAAATCGTTCGATTATTCTTAGGCCGGATTTTTGGATGAAATATCGGTCGAATTTCAACCCATATATGGCCAGTCTTAGTATCACTTTAACCATGAATGACGACCTGAGATTTATTGCTCTCACATTAGCACAATTTTTATTTCCATTTGTAGCTGCACCCAATGGGGGCTTACCATTTTTTTTGTTGTTTTTTTATTTTTAATTTGTTATTTACATTTTTATTTTATTAACCTAACATCATTGCCATCACATGCAGGACCAATAGCCCTCTATATGACAGTTGTGAGATGGTGACAGGTCCCCTTTAAGGAGAAATCAGAAGTCTAGTAGGCCCCTAAAGCCACCCATCAGATTGTGCTTGATTGGTTTCATCCCTGACCTCAGTAGCCGAGGAATGACAGTTCTGAATCCGGAAGTGACAAAATACATGTTTCCATTTTTGCCAGAGAAATTATCAGTGAACACCCCCCCACTCAGCGACACCCGCCATGTTCATCCTGGGCCCACAGGTGGGACAGTGAAGTCCATCATACATTGTGGGGAAATAGCATGTCCCAGTGGTTGTGGAAATGTTAAAGCTGCCCAAATCACTTTCACAGGAAAATGACAGTCGGCTTAAGAAATGTAATCTACAGCAGCCAGGTATGTGTGTAAGTAGCCCCTCTGCTAACGAGAGAAGCCTTACATCAGTGGCAGTGAAAGGGTTAAAGCTGAAGTCTAGCTCTGGTCCTTGCAAATCACTAACTCAGTTGTTCCAGTTACTGCCTCCAAACTCCCCTGCATGTTAGCCTATGTGTCCATGCACACATAGGCTTTAAGCAGCATTTAGAGGCAGGAAAAAAAAGCCCACTGCCAAAGCATCAAGGAGCAGCAGAGTTTTTCAGAAAAAAAGGCTTGACACTTGTAAATGCATGTTAAAGCTAGGTGCGTTTTTATCACTTAACCGTTAATTCATTTCAATGGCCAGAATAAAATATTTATTTTAGCCAATGAAATGAATTAACACCCAAGCGCTTGACGCCTGTAAATGCGCCTAAATGCTTGTAAAAGTGTTCAAGCAGCAGGAGTTTTTTTTCTGCAAAACCGCTGCTGGCTTCCAGGAGAGTTAAAAAAAAAAAAAAAAAAGGCTTGTGTGCATGAGGCCTTAACCACCTCCCGTCCGGCCCTTGTATATGAACAGCCGGACGGTGGCAGTGCAGGGTCGGGTGGCCATTTATAAACGGCCTCCCCGCACCTTGCTTGTGCGCGCTCCCTGGGAGAGCGCAGCATCGCGATCCGGTGCCCGCTATGTCCTCCGGACACAGTGGAACACCGATCGTCGGACAAAACATGACTTAGTACTTGGTGGCAAATCCCTTGTTGGCAATCACAGAGGTCAGATATTTCCTGTAGTTGGCCACCAGGTTTGCACACATCTCAGAAGGGATTTTGGCCCACTCCTCTTGACAGATCCTCTCCAAGTCATTAAGGTTAGGTGACGTTTGGCAACTCTAACTTTCAGCTCCCTCCACAGATTTTCATTCGGATTAGGGTCTGGAGACTGTCTAGGCCACTCCAGGATCTTAATGTGTTTCTTCTTGAACCACTCCTTTGGTGCCTTGGCCGTGTGTTTTGGGTCATTGTCATACTGGAACACCCATCCACGACCCATTTTCAATGCCCTGAGTGAGGGAAGAAGGTTCTCACCCAAGATTTGACGGTACATTGCCCCGTCCATCATCCCTTTGATGCAGTGCAGTTGTCCTGTCCCCATAGCAGAAAAACACCCCCAAAGCAGAATTTTTCCACCACCATGTTTGACAGTTGGGATGGTGTTCTTGGGGTCATAGGCAGCATTCCTCCTCCAAACACGGTGAGTTGAGTTGATGCCAATGAGCTCGATTTTGGTCTCATCTGACCACAACTCTTTCAGCCAGTCCTCCTATGCACCATTCAGATTTTCAGTGGCAAACTGCAGATGGGCCTGGACATGTGCTTTCCTGAGCAGAGGGACCTTGCGGGCACTGCAGGATTTCAATCCTTGTCGGCGTAGTGTGTTACCAATTGTTTGCTTGGTGACTGTGGTCCCAGCTGCCTGGAGATCATTGACAAGATCCTCACGTGTAGTTCTGGGATGATTCCTCACCGTTCTCATGATCATTGACACTCCACGAGGTGAGATCTTGTATGGTGCACCAGACCTAGGGAGACTGACAGTTGTTTTGTGTTTCTTCCATTTGCGAATGATTGCACCAACTGTTGTCACCTTCTCACCAAGCTGCTTGGCAATAGTTTTGTAGCCCAGTCCAGTCTTGTGTAGGTCTACAATCTTGTTCCTGACATCCTTGGTCTTTGCCATGGTGGAGAGTTTGGAATCTGATTGTTTGATTGCTCCTGTAGACAGGTGTCTTTTATATAGGTAACAAAATGAGATTAGCAGCACTCCCTTTAAGAGACTGCTTCTAATCTCATCTTGTTACCTGTAAAAAAGGCACCTGGTAGCCAGAAATCCTGCTGAATGATAGAGGATCAAATACTTATTTCCCTCATGAACATGAAAATCAGTGCATCATTTGTTAGACATGCATTTCTTTTGAATTTTTTGTTGATATTTTGTCTCTCAGTGTTACAGTACACCTACCATTCGATTTTTAAACTGATCATTTCTTTGTGAGTGGGCAAACATTCAAAATCAGCAGGGGATCAAATACTTATTTCCTTCACTGTACACGTGTTAAATCAGCACGTTTATCCCTTTGATTGCTCCTATGATTCCCTTGATCACCCCATCATTCAGTCAGTCCCATTAGTACTGTGTCAGTATATAGAATTTTTTACTGATCACTGTATTACTGCCACTAGCAACAACATCAGGTAGCGTCAGGGTCTGTAAGCTCCCCTCCCAGCCAGGGTCAGCTAGCGTTAGATTGCCTGCACACTATCACACTCACACTATAGGTCACTGATCACCACCATTACCAGTATAGTGTTTGTACGGATCAATATATTGATCACAAACAGAATTATACTAGTGCCTCCTTAGTAGAGTGTTCCCAAAATTGCAATGTTAGCAGGATGAGTCCCGTTCGCTGCTTGCGCTAGCGTTTAGCCCCTCCGCTTTTTTTCACGGAAGATGTGTATCAATTGATTGCGGGCCAAAAGCAGTTTATACACACACACACACACACACACACACACACAAGTAAGAGGTCCCTGAATTTTGTGCTTCTTAGTGGAAGTGATGACTGGCATATTCAAGGCTTTGGACATCTTTATGTCCTTTTCCATCTTTCTAAATCTCCATTACCTTGTTACGCAGGACTTTTGACAGTTCTTTTCTGATCCCCATGGCTCAGTATTTAGCCTAGTCAGTGCTTCCATGTATGAGCTAACAAACTCATTGACTATTTATACACTGACACTAATTGCAATTTAAAAAGCCACAGATGTGGAACATTAACCTCTAATTGGCATTTTAACCCGTGTGTGTCACCTTGTGTGTCTGTACCAAGGCCAAACATTCCAGGGTATGGAAACTTTTGATCATGGCCATTTGGGTGTTTTCTGTTATTATGATTTAAAAAGGAGCCAAACAACAATTTGATAATAAATGGCTTCATATGATCATCATCCTTCATTAAAAAGAGCATTTTTGGCATGATCAGTCATATTTTCAATATCAATGCCAAAATTTCATAATGATCAGTCGATATTTTCAATATCAATGCCAAAATTTCATAATTTCTGCAGGGTATGCAAACTTTTGAGCACAACTGTATATACACCATAGTTTGTAGATGCTATAGCTTTCACACAAACTAATTCATACACACCTTGTGGGATTTTTTTTTTTACCAAAGACAGAATACATTTTGGCCTAAATTTATGACTGAGTTTACTGGATATTTTTTATAACCGAAAGTAGAAAATGTTTTTTTTCAAAATTTTCGGTCTGTTTTTAATTATATCATAAAAAAATTAAAGGAACCCAGTGGTGATAAAATACCTTCAAAAGAAAGTTCCATTTGTGTGAAAAAAAAAAAAAAGTCAGAAATGTCGTTTAGGTACAGCGTTTTTATGGCCGCACAATTACCAGTTGAAATAGCGCAGTGCCAGAACAGCAAAAAATGGCCTGGTCAGGAAGGGGGGGGGGGGGGTAAATCTTCCAGAGGGCAAGTGGTTAATGTTTAACATTTATATTTAATTACACAAAATTAGAAAGTGCAGCAGTGCATATCCCCAACAAATTACCAATGCAATGCAAAACAGGCTTACAGATGACCAGAAACAAGTTGAAGCAGTGATATAATATAAATGTTTTCTCTCTCCAAAACATATTTTTAATAGCCATCTATCTATAGATCTCTCTCTATATATTATTAATATATATATCCATCCAAAAAGAAGATGAGATCTCTGTACGAGGCAAACCTTTAATACTTCAAAAATCCATCTTCATACAATATCAGATCATTTCAAACAGGCAACTGTACACTATCAGGCATTACAATGCTCTTCATGAAGCATTGTAATGATTGAAACTGTACATTTGGTTTGAAATGATCTGATTTTGTATGAAGATTTTTGAAGTAAAAAACATTTGCACCATACAGAGATCTCATCCTTATTTTTTTGCGGTTTTATGTCGGTGGATTAATTGGGAGCCCGCTGTTGATGTGATCTCTGAGCAACCACACACACACCAATTCCAATAATCAACACTGGATGAAAGCATGACTACAGAGAATCTTCCCCTTTAATATATAACTGAAGGCAAAACTTCTTTGGGTGTTTTTATGGGGTGGCAAGGGGTTAGAAACATGGTCAGGTTTGTATTTCTGTCTTTGTCTCCATTACAAAGATCGACTGTGTGATTGTCCTGATTAGCAATGTTATGGCAAATGAAAGTAAAAGAAAAAACACAAAATTTCAAATAGCCCCAAATCTTATAGTGAGACACACTTGTTCCTGTAATAACTAAGAGCTCTTGCAGAAGGGGTGTCTAAGCATCTTCAGGATACCTGCGAATATATTTCCTCCACCCAGGCACACTGTATTGCCTGTCATTAGCATAAATGGCGGTGTGGCACTGTACTCACGTATACAGATGTTTTATCGTAAACAAGAGTACAGCATGCAAGCATTTGGTGTACTTTATGTTTCCAAGCACCCCCGTATACACATGTACAGTGGCACACAGATGTACAAGAAGCAGGCATGTAGGGGAAGCTGTCTGCCTGTTTTTAATGTGACTGTAAAGCCAATTCTTTTTCCAATAACAAACATGTTATAATTACCTGTTCCAGGCTCCTCCCCCCTGCCGAGTGCCCCCATAGCACAGCTTCCTGTGGGGAACTTGTGCATGCTTGCATCCACGCCCTGCTCTGTGTGTCCATAAAACAGTCAGAGCATGGCTCAGCCCATCCCCTTCCCAGCTCACTAGCTGTGATTGACAGCAGCAGGTGCCTATAGCTCCCGCTGCTGTGTCTCAGCCAAAGAGTAGAGAGAGCTGGGAGAGCCGCTGCTCTCATGCACATCACTGGATCAAAATCAGACTGGGGTCGGGGGGAGCTGAACACTAATGTTTTTTTATTACCTTCATGCATAGAATCCATGAAGGTAAAAAACCTTCGGCCTTTAAAACCACTTTAATTGGCTGCACAGACCACCTGTGTCTGTCCTCAGATGTTCAGATCAATGTGCCTGTGTGAATGAGGCCACAAATGCAACTGTTTGCCTAGTTCCTAGAGGCAATAATCTTTTTTTCCAATTTTTATTCAATCCTCAAGGATTCTCATCACCGTATATTACTTACAGCTCCAGTTTCATCACGTAGTGTTGAGATTCTCCCACTCAGCAGACTGTAAAATAAAGAGAATAATTACTTCTGGAATAATACACTCCATGTAGCAAAAAGCAAATATTGGTGACCAATACACTCCACAAAAATCTGCAGGCTGAGTCAGAGAATGACACGGTAATTCCGTAACATGATCCCATCACTGCATTAATAATAGGTGGACGCACACATCCTGCAAAAAAAACCACGAGTACATACAGTCAGGTGGGTGCTTAGTCTAGTCAAACGGTGCTGGTGCTAATACTTCATGTCAGATATTATGTCCTCCTCTATTACGGTGGATCCCCCCACCAGTCAGTGCTGGTGCTATCCGATACTTCAGGGTGTGTCTTATGTCCTCCTCTATTACCGGTGGTCACACCAGCTGCGACTTCAGTTCTGGTGCTATCCGATACTTCAGGGTGTGTCAGATATTATGTCCTCCTCTATTACCGGTGGTTCCCCCCACCAGCTGCACTTCAGTGCTGGTGCTATCCGATACTTCAGGGTGTGTCAAATATTATGTCCTCCTCTATTACCAGTGGATCCCCCCAGCGCATTAGGCAACACAGTAGTGATGTAGCAGCCGGTAATAGGAATCACGGCACCCATCAAGGAGCATGCTATACGACGACCCACCAGGCAGATAGCACTGGCACCCACAGCTCTGCCAGACAGCATAGACTGGGCTCTCTGCCAGCAGGACTAGTATATATTTAACTTGTTCTTCTACAGCAGTTGTCTCTAAACTACAGCCCATAAGCCACATCAGGCCCACTGCAACATTGTACCCGGCCCACAGCAACTTTTCCTGTATTTAAGTCCCAATGCTTCCATGGTGCAGGTGGGCTGGCCACCAGCACCATAACAACCAATGACGCTGGAAACAAAATGAAAAGGCAGCAGCTACAAACACTGTAGCTCCTTACTTTTAATAAGAGGACACTTACCTGTCCAGGGATCCAGAACCGCTCTCACCCAGCTGGTTCTTCACCAGTATTTGGGTCTCCTGCCTATTTACAAAGGGAAACCAGCAGTGAAGCCTTACCGCTTCACAGAGGACTCCCCACTGTGCATGCACGAGTCGCACTGCACTTTGTGAATGGTCCCCGCGGTCTTCTGGGATCTGTGAAGCGTCTAAGAAGGCTGCGGGCAAAACGTGAGGGAATGAACCTCTACTTGGATCATCTAGGCGATCCAGGCTCAAAATGGAGTGGGTACCTGTCAAAACCAGGAACCCCCTCCCCACAAAAAAAAAAAAAAAAAATAAGTTTTCAAATGTGGGGGAGGATGGAGGAAAGAGGTGGAAAAGCAGAACGTCTCCTTTTGGTTGAAGTTCTGCTTAAAGGGTAACTAAGCCCATAACAGTAAAATCAGTCTTTATATGCAGTAAAGCATGCCTGTTATACTCACTGTAGAACCCAAGGGGTTCTGCATTGTGTAAAAAGGCTTTTTGACCCTGTCTTCTCTGGCTCCTCCCCTTCTTCCACAGTCCCCAATCGATTTGCTGAGAGTACAGAGCTCTAGGAGTCACTCTGCACATGCTCAGTTTAATGTGTATTGCTAGGGAGTTTTTTGGGGGTTTTTTTTGGAGGGAGCATGGGATCAGCACAGGGCCAATCAGCACTGTCCAGAGGGTCAGGGGTTATGCAGCCTCACAGGACAGTCAAAGCAGAATGAAAACTTCTCTTACAAGATTACCCAGTGCTCTGCCAGACACTGATAGAAGTCACAAGACTGCTATATACCGCTGATGTGAAAAGGTATTTAGCAGTTTATATTTACTAAAATAATTGCATTTACATGTTATGTGTACTGTGGGAGACCAGATATAGTGAATTCAGGGTCCTGGGTTTAGTAACACTTTAAGAATATGTGGTGTAATTCATTGCTATTAAGCTGCCGCTGATGGAGGGCAGTGGCATCCAGAAGAGGTCCTGCTCCACCGTCACCCTAAGTCCAGACGTGCTTTGCCTCCCACCCTTTGCCATGCTGCCACTGTGATGACGATTGTAAGGTAGGACAAGGAGACTGAGGACTGATGTGAGGGGGGGCTCTTATGTGCAATGGGGGAGTTTTTGATGTGAAGTTATTTTACGAAGCATGTTTATTCATTCATTTAAATGCTATTAATTTTTAAAACCGGAATCTGCTGAAATTCAAGCTGTGTATTAACAGCTTAAAAAGGGTAAGAAAAGCCTAACAGTAACTATTCTTAAAAATATTCCTCTCACCTATTCTGTATACCGTGTTTTGTTTTTACAAAAAGGATAGGCAGAAGGAGAGGTGAGGGAACATTTTTAAGAATAGTTCGTGTTAGCCATTTCTTCCACATAAGAACTTCCACACTAATCTGCTGCTGTTTCTCCACCACGAGGAATAGCAGTGTACTAACAGGTTGCAAGCAGGTTAGCTGCACGCTACCATAGACTTCTATGCACACCAAACCCCGGGACATAATAGAAATCTATGAAAAGCACAGCTAACCTGCACAAAAAAACAAAAACTGCAATGTGGCCAAAGTGCAGTAGATCAATGTGAAGCCACCCTTAACCCCTTCCCGCCGGTGCCTCCCGGCCCTTTAAGAGTTTCAGATGCCGAGAGGTGGAGTGGACGGGGCGGGGTTTAGGGACCATGTGACTGCCGTGACGCATCGTCACGGCAGTCACATGATCGGGAAAGGTCCCGATCGAAAGAGCAGACCGGGACCTTTCCGTGAGTACCGGACATGTGTGCTGGGAGCGCGCAGGGCAAGCGCTTTCAGCACATATGGTTTTTCTTACCTGAACGCAAATGTGCGGCCGCTCGGCATCTAGGCCCAGACGCTGGGAGGCCACACATTTGTGTGCAGCCGGCGTAAAGGGGTTAAGCTTTGCAAACTTCCAGAAGATGGATGGGGCAACTGAATCTTACAAATAAATGTCTTTCTGAAATCAGTAGTCTCTTATGTATACATATTCAATAGTGGTGCACCGAAATGAAAATTCCAGTGCCGAAACCAAAAATTCAGGATGCTCTTGGCCAAAAACCAAAACAGACATTGTTTTTTAAATGTTTTTAAAATTTAATGAACATGGCTGGCATTTTTGCATTGAAGTCTATGGGTCTATGGGATGCAGCATGCCATTATTGGCACCATGTCAATAACCTTATTTATTGATAGATCAGTGCATCCCTAATATTTAGAACATACATATGAAGACATGTTTTTATACAGGGATGTTAGAACATTTTACTGTCTGATCTGTATATATTCGCTGTACATATAGTAGCAAAAATTTGCATATAGTAGCAAAAATTTAAAAAAACAATGAACGAAGAGGCTGTAAAAAAAACTTGTTCTACAATGAAAATCAGATTCGCTATAAAGAAAGCATGAAAAACTATTTGACTAAATAGTCACTAGTCACATTTTTATTCTTGACACAACTGAATCTACCAGCAGATTAAAGGCAGAACTGATATATACCTGGAAAAAAAGGAGTCTGGGATCCACATAAGTGTTTGTCTTGATGTACTAAATCTGGAGAGAAACAAACAGCAAATTATTAACATTTATGAATGACAAATTCTATTTCCGTAGCAGTCTAGATATCAACTTCACAGCTATAATAGAAAGTTTGACAGACAAAACAAGGAATTAATGCTTGTGTTGCTGTCTGCATAAGATCAAACTGTGCTCTCATTCAATCCTATTAGAGTAGTGGTCTCCAAACTACAGCCCAGGGGCTGGAAGTGGCCTTTATCAGGCCCCTGGGGCACTATTCCACCAACACTATTCCACCAACTGACACCAATGATAGAGCACAATTCCCCCTACTGACACCATCAATGGAGTACTATTCTTCTCACTGTTATCAACAATGGGGCACTATTCCATTAAAACCAATGATGGGGCAATGATGCGAGGGCATTTTCTACTCCCACTGGCTATAGTCTGGCCACTCTACAGACTGAAGGAAAGTAAACTGGCCCTTGCTTAGAAAGTTTGGAAACCCCTGCTATAGAGAGATATGGAGTATCAGCCTGCACTTCCAACTAACTTTCCACAGGACAGAGAGAGTGCATATGCCAAGCCAGGAAGATTTTGACAAACACCACAATACCGATATCTCACTGGATTGGGTTACAGGAACATATGCAACTGTAAAGCCTAGTACACATGGATCGAATGTTGGTGGCCAACTAAAACAGGCCAACATTCAGCCTGTGTGTATGGTGGCCATCCAATGGATGCCAGCCATTCGGCCAGCTTCTGTTAACCACTTCAAGTCCAAATACTTTTACCCCCTTCCTGTCCAGGCCAATTTTCAGCTTTCAGCGCTATCACACTTTGAATGACAATTGCGAGGTCATGCAACACTGTACCCATATGAATTTTTTAGCTTTTTTTGAGACAGATAAAGCTTTATTTTGGTAGTATTTATTTACCGCTGGGATTTTTATTTTTTTTTGCTATGTAAATGAAAAAGTCCAAAAATTTTGAAAAAAAGTGTTTTTCATATAAAATGTTACCAATAAATAATAATTTCATCATAAATCTTGGCCAAAATGTATTCAGTTATCTTTTAAGTAGAAAAAAAAATAACCCATATTAGTTTATAACCAAAAATTATAATTTTTAAAAAGTTTTGTTTACATTTTTATATTATTTTTTTATATACTGTCACCCTAGCAGTACAGTGTCACCATGGTGACACTGTACTACTTGTGGGGGGTGATGATTTTTTTTTTAACACATTACTTTTACACCCATATAGGCTGTAAAAGCAATCATTTCTCCTTCTCTCTGGCTGCAGTCTTGCAGCCATTGAGAACTACTGTGTGAGCTGTGATTGGTCACACCTTGTCACATGGTATAAGGCTGTTGTGAATAGCCTTGTACCATGTGACCTCTGTGATCATTCACAGATTTCACACGTAGTAAGCAATGATGTCAGAAGTGACATCTTGCTTACTACTCTGCCTGTGATCACTGATTGGCCAATCAGTGATCACATGATCGGGACCTCACAGAGAGGTCCTGTACGACGATCGGTGTTCCTCTGTGTCCAGAGGACGCAGCGGGCACTGGATCGCGGTACTGTGCACTCCCAGGGAGCATGCACAAGCAGGGGTTGGGGAGGCCGTTTATAAACAGCCATCCGACCCTGCACTGCCACCGTCCAGCCGTTTAAATACAACGACCCGGACGGGAGGTGGTTAAAGGGGTATGACCGTAGAAGGTCTGCCGATCAGCTCCCAATCAGTGCTCTCAACCAATGGCTGGGAGCTCTGACTGAAGTGTTCTGCCGGGGAGATCGCTGTATTAATATCGGATTGTTGGTACAGTGGCTCCTCCTAAGCTCTGCAGTGTTTTTTTTTCGTTTAGCCCGCTAGTGTACCAGGCTAAGTATAATTGCCATTTATACTGACCATCCACACCGGAGTTTTGCAAACGGGGAAACGTGCCATAACTAGAAAGAAATCTAGAAGGGGGTCCTGGTAGTTAGCTGCAGGAGGAAGCCCCATTGAAAGCACTGGGAGGCTGCCAGCTCCAGCAGCTTATTACAGTTGCTCCCATGTAATCGCTCAAGTAGCGATTACCTCCAAGCAATCAACCCTGGGCAAAGAGCCCCTGCTAGGGTTTCTGCATGTAAGTCACATGCAGTCCCATTCGCAAGTGATCGTTTACAGAAGAATTGCCCTCAAAAGAGCAATCTCCGATGAATCACTTTTCAGAGGGCGTTTGACAGGTGACATATCGCCTCCTTAATAAAGTGGAACTTCACTTCATCTGAGCACCACAAATCAAAAACCCTGTTTAATTCAAAGCAAAGCAAACTCTCCTCATCCATCCTTGTCTCCATGTTTTATTTTGCTAAGAAATAATTTTGAAAAACACCCCCCTAGCATTTCTGGTTGTGGCCATCTTGAGTAAGGGCAGATGATTCATGTAGCATTTCCGTCCTGTAATCCATCTGCCCTTAGCTCAGACATGCAGGCAGGAGGGTGTGCTTAGCTAAGAAAACTCTCCTCCCCTCCTGAAGTCTCCAGGGATATATGACATCATTTGCCTAGGCATGGAAAACGGGAAGTAACTAAAGAAATGTAAAAAAAAAATGTGTAAAACAAGTAAATATGATATATTTTCCTATCTATTTACAAATCCATAACCATTAAAAAGGAGTTGAATGAGTTAGTAAAGTTCAGTTTCAACTCCAGTTTTAAACTCTAAAAGTCAGCAACATTGAATTGCATTGAGGCCATTCACTTGAAGGTGACAGTGGGCATAATTTTTGCAAAGCCAGTATGAGCACATAGCCAGACTGTGGGAGCCAGAATTATTGTTGGTTGGTAGGGGATCAAATACATATTTTACTCACTGAACTGCAACTCAATTTATAACATTGTGTTTTTTCTGGATTTTTGGTTGTTATTCTGTTTCTATCATTTAAAATACACTTATGAGAAAAATGATAGACCCTTCATTTCTTTGTAAGTAGGAAAACTTACACAATCTGCAGGGGATCTAATAATTCTTTTCACCACTGTACATATGTATATACCAAACGGAAGAGTGATGGTAACAGTCATACCAGTAATACAGTTAATGATTTACTTAATTTGATTCAGTTAGTGCATTACAGAGGGATACAGTGGATATAAAAACGTCTACAAACCCGTTAAAATGTCAGGTTTCTGTGATGTAAAAATAACGAGACAAAGATAAATCATTTCAGAACTTTTTCCACCTTTTAATGTGACCTATAAACTGTACAACTCAATTGAAACACAAACTGAAATCTTTTCGGGGGTGGGCAAGGAGAGTAAACATAAAAAACTAAAATAATGCAGTTGCATAAGTGTGCACGCCCTCTTATAACTGGGGATGTAGTGGTGTTATGCTGTATTATTATTATACAGTATTTATATAGCGCCAAAGGGTATGCTCAGCGCTGTACAGTAGCAAGGGGGACATAACATGAGACAAGACAGTAACACTACACTACACGAGGGGTTCGAGGGCCCTGCTCTTTCGAGCTTACAATCTAGGAGGGAGGGGAAGGTGGTACAGGAGGAGATGGCTGTGGGGGATGGAGTGGTGGGTGGAGTGGAGGAGGTTAGTGGTTAGAGGTCGGGTGTTAGGTGAGGGTGGGGTAGGCTTCCCTGAAGAGGAGGGTTTTCAGGGTGCGCCTGAAGGTGAGGAGTGTAGGTGACAGTCTGATGGATTGGGGTAGGGAGTTCCAAGGGATGGGGGAAGTCCTGGAGAAGTCCTGTAATCGGGCGTGGGAGGAGGAGACCAGGGAGCTAGAGAGTAGGAGGTCCGGTGAGGAGCGGAGGGCACGGGTAGGGTAGTATTTGGGTATCAGTTCAGTTATGTAGTTCGGGGTGGTGTTGTGAATGGCTTTGTAGGCCAGATTTAGCAGTTTGAATTTGATGCGTTGGGCAATCGGGAGCCAATGAAGGGATTGGCAGAGGGGGGGAGGGGGAGGCAGATGTGGAGCGCTTGGTGAGGTGGATGAGTCTAGCCGCTGAGTTTAGGATCGACTGGAGTGGGGATAGCGTTCGTTTGGGTAGGCCAGTGAGAAGGGAATTGCAATAGTCCAGGCTGTAGTATTGTTTGTAGAATCTTGATGAAAAAAATAAATGTTAATCCATTTTGGAATAAGGCTGTAACATAAGAAAATGTGGCAACAGTTAAGTGCTGTGAATACTTTCTGGATGCACTGTACTTGAAACTTATTGAAGGATGGTGTGCATTGTAGCACGGAGGAGGTGCATTGTAGCATAGAGGTGGCGCACTGTAGCATAGAGGTGGCGCACTGTAGCACAGAGGTGGCGCACTGTAGAATTCGTACACAGATACTAGCAGTTTGCACCACTTTTTTTTGCTGCTTTGCACAACTTTTATATTGATTTCACTTTTGACACCTTAATTTAAGATAATAAACAAATGTTTATGTATTTTGTTTTTAAAGCGGAACTTCGCCTTAAAGGGGACGCTCCACTTTATGTCCTCCTCCCCTCTCCTCTACCACATTTGGCACTTTAAAGTTTTTTGGGGAGAGCTAGTACCTTTTTTACATAGGCGCCAGCTCACACGTCTGCTTGGTTTAGCACCATCTCTTTGCCCGCAGCCTTCTGGAACATGTCACAGGTCCCTGAAGGCTGTGGGACCATTCACAGGGCACAGCATGGCTTGCACATGAGCGACGGGGAGCCTGCTGTGAAGCCACAAGCAGTCACAGCTTGATTTCCACTGTACACATGGTAGTGCTGGGAACCTGAGGTGAGGACAGCTCTGGATCCCTGGACAGGCAAGTGTCCTTTTATTAACCCCTTCACGCCTAAGGGTAAAACAAATCTAAATGCCCAAGCACAATTTTGCAATGTTGACATGCGTTAGTAAAACCATACATATCATCACAACTAATTTGTATATCCAGGTGAATTATACCTTGTTTTGTTTTTCCAGGACAAATTGGACTTTCATTTGGTGGTAAATGATAATGGATATCTCCTGATTTTTTTTTTTATCAAAAGGAAAACTGGCCCAAAATAGTAGTAAAAAAAAAAAAATCTTTTTTTTAATTTAGCTGTGTGTTTCTTGTTACTACCATAACCTACCACCGAAGAACAACCCAAAATAACTTCTCCAGCTCTTGACAATCGCAGCGATACCATATATGTGTATGTTATTTGTTGTTTGTACCCCTGGTACAGCCCGGAAACAATAGTGCACATTCTGGTTTTGTCTTTTTTTACCTAAAACACACTGACACCAATACCAATTTGTTTTTTAATCCTGACCTTTTGACCTTGACCTCTGACCTAAACATTAACCCTGGCACTGAACTAGATCAAACCTTGATCTAGGTAATTTTTCTTTATTTTTTAAGATTTATTAATTTTTTTAACAAACATTTTTTTTCCCGCTCTATGCCAGGAGATAGAGAGATACAATGTGTCTCTCTCCTCCATTCATAGAGAGATAAAAAAAAAAACAAGGGGGCCGGGCTGTACAGTGACTGATCACTGTGATAGCCAATCAGAGGCTACCACAGCGATCATGTGACCCGGAATCGGAAGTCCCGGGTCCCGATCGTTCGAACGGGACACGGTGCTCTCAGTGACACCGCGGTCTTTGTGCTGGGCTCGGCGCACTCCCAGCACAAACACAGGTACACAAATATGCGACCCAACGGAAAAAGCCCAGTTCTGTGAGGCCGCATATTTGTGTTACATCGGCATTAAGGAAGTCAGCAGCTACATTCACCAGCACCCTTGGAGGTTAATAGTTAGTTCATACAATACTGATTTTTTACAAATATATTTGGCATTATTAGGCTGCATTCACACTGATGATTGTGTCCATTTTGCATGGGCAGGGCAGCTTATTCATTTAAAAGGGCTGCCGTGCCTCCTGGAAAACAGGGAAAAGGTTCCTGCAGCATTTTAACAAGTGCAGTGGGTAAGTGCAGTGGGTTCCCAGTGTGTGTGGCATGCCATTAGGATTAATGGCACCCGCATACATCTCCTGTGCAGGTGGTTCCATCTGCAGAAACAGGTGAGCTCCCACAGCGACAATCACCCACACAGATTATTATTAAAAATATTAGAATACAGGATTTATATAGCACCAGCGCACTGCTTTACAAAATGAAGGAAGACATTACAGTTACAATACAAGAGGAATCAGAGGGCCCTGCTTGTTACAGCTTACAATCGAAGAGCGAGGGTCAAAGTAGAACTAAAAAGGTAATAACTGTAGGAATGAGATGATGGATAAAGTAAAAAACACAATCCGTTCATTAGGAGCAGGATAGGAGAAGGGTTTTCAGGGATCACCTAAAGATGGATAAATTAGGAGATAGTCAGACAGAACGGGGTAAGGAATTTCAGAGGATGTGAGAGGCTCTGGAAAAGTCCCGAAGATGAGCATGGGAGGAGGAGATGAGGGAGCTAGAGAGCAGAAGGTCTTGAGAGGACCTAAGAGTGGTTTGGTTGGTATCTTGAGACTAGGTTAGTGATATAGCGCCGTCAGTTTACACAGCGCTTTACATATATATTGTACATTCACATCCGTCCCTAACCCTCAAGGGGTGTACAGTCTAAGGTCCCTAACTCACATTCATACATACATACATACATGTACAAGGGACAATTTAGACAGGAACCAATTAACCACTTGCTAACCAAATGACGGCTACAGCGCGGTTGTCCAGTTCTGGGAGGGTGTCATATGACGTCCTCCCAGAATGCGCCCTCCCACACGCCCCCAGCAATCTCCATGATCGCTGTGTCCTACGGACACAGCTGATCATGTGATGGAGGTAAAAGGCCAATCACAGCAGCCTTTTCACCATGTGATCAGCTTTGTCCAATGACACAGCAGATCAAGGAGTAAATACAGTTGCTGGTTATCAGCTGCACTTTCCTCACACTGTCACAGTGTGAGGAAACTGCCAATACCCTGCCAATACCCGGCACATGTGGCAAGAATAGTTTGGCACTGATGATACAGCAGTTGCCCAGCAGTGCCTCCCCCAGTGCCCAGCAGTGTCACCCATCAGTGCTGTACAAGCAGTTGGCCCATCAGTTCCGCCCCATCACCTATTGGTGACAATCATTGCTGCATATCAGTGCCTCCTCATCAATGTCCACCAGTGAAGGAGAAAAATTACCTGTTTGCAACATTTTTATAATAGAAACAAAAGAACTACTTTTTTTAAATTTTTTGGTCTTTTTTTGTTTAGTGCAAAAAATAAAACCCCCAGCGGCGATTAAATACCACCAAAAAAAAGCTCTATTTGTGTGAAAAAAAGATCAAAAATTTCATATGGATACAATGTTGCGTGACCGCGCAATTGTCATTCAAAGTGCGACACCGCTGAAAGCTGAAAATTGGTCTGGGCAGGAAGGGGGTGATAGTGCCCGGTAGGCAAGTGGTTAACCCACCAGCATGTCTTTGGAGTGTGAGAAGAAACCGGAGTCCCGGAGGAAACCCACACAGGGAGAACATGCAAACTCCAGGCAGGTGGTGCCATGGTTGGGATTCGAACCAACGTCCCTAGTACTGCCAAGCAGAAGTCCTGACCATAGCAAAGCACACATCTGCTAACCGCATTCGGGGCAACATGAACAATTTACGGTGAAGTGTGTTTGCGGCACGTTTCCAGAAACGCACAGAAGTACGGAAATTTCTGGCGCGTTCAGGAAACACAAAGTGTGAATGGGGCCTCGATGGCGACGCGCACAGATGTGAATGGGGCCCATGGGTGATAAGAAGAGGGAGAATAGAGCAGACATGGAGGACTGTCCATCCTCCACACACAGGTATACAAGTCCTGAGCTCTGCTATGAATGACAGCTCACCCCCTATTCCCGCTTACCTGGTGCCCCCCACATTCAGCTGGATGATCTCCCCGGTGCCAGGTGGGCTGAAACTGCTGCAGTTCCCGGCCATGCTGGGCTGCGGCCTGCAATCCCCGGGCTGCAGTAGAACGCTGTCCCGGGATGGGGTTCAGGGAAGTCCGGCTCCGCATCCCATGGAATTCTGTGCCCCCTCCTGTGCCGTCTGCGCATGCGCCGATCCAGGCACTGGCTCTCAAGACATCGTGATGTAGCCGGGGGAGGAGCTGAACTTACCCACCACTGATAGGCATGCGCAGAAGACACGAAGGGGGAATACAGCGATTTACTACTACACTGATACTATGTACCGTATACAGCTATGGACTCCAAACTGCGGCCCTGTACATAGACCAGCCACTGACACCATCCACTGACACCAGCAATGGGGCACTATTCCTCCCACTGACACCAGAAATGGGGCACTATTCCTCCCACTGACACCAACAATGGGGCACGATTCCTCCCACTGACACCAGTAATGGGACACTATTCCATCCATTGACACCAGCAATGGGGCACTATTCCATCTACTGACACCAGCAATGGGGCACGATTCCTCCCACTGACACCAACAATGGGGCACGATTCCTCCCACTGACACCAGTAATGGGGCACTATTCCTGCCACTGACACCAGCAATGGGGCGCTATTCCATCCACTGACACCAGCAATGGGGCGCTATTCCATCCACTAACACCAGCAATGGGGTGCTATTCCATCCACTGACACCAGCAATGGGGCACTATTCCATCCACTAACACCAGCAATGGGGTGCTATTCCATCCAATGACACCAGTAATGGGGCACTATTCCATTTTCTGATACCAGCAATGGGGCACTATACTATCCACTGACACCAGCAATGGGGCACTATTCCATCCACTGACAGTAGTGTTGGGAGACTATTCCTCCCACTGACACCAGCAAGGGGGTACTATTTCATCCACTGACACCAACGATAGGGCCCTACTCTTCCCACTGACACCAAAAATGGGGCCCTAGTCTTCCCACTGACACCAACAATGGGGCACTATTCCATCCACTGAGACTAGCAATGGGGCACTATTCTATCCACTGACACCAACGATGGGGCCTTATTCTTCCCACTGGTACCAAAGATGGGTCCCTATTCCATCCACTGACACCAACTATGGGGTACTATTCCGTCCACTGACACCAATGGAGGGGCGCTATTCCATCCACTGACACTAACAATGGGGCGATATTCCATCCACTGACACCAACGGTGGGGCATTATTCCATCCACTGACACCAACAATGGGGCACTATTCCCCTAATGACACAAATAATGGGACACTATTCCTTCCACTGACACCAATAATGGGGCACTATTCCTTCCACTGACACCAATAATGGGGCACTATTCCTTCCACTGACACCAATAATGGGGCACTATCCCCATACCTCCCAACTTTCTGAGATGGGAATGAGGGACAGCTTTAAGGGAAAGTATGTAGGCATTGGACACGCCCCGTCTCTCCCCCTTAAAGGAGAATTATACCAAAAAATATTAGTTAACCATTAGCCGCCTGGCCTATAGCCGTTTGGCGGCTGCAAAAATGCTTCAGCTTTCTGGCCATTTGGTGTCCTCCCGCACATGCGTAGTTTGCGCGGTTGCAGAACCGCGCAGCGGCGCGATCTGTCACCGGCCGTGTACCTCGGACACGGCCGATGACAGATCTGAGTATCGGCCCCCGTTGCCGGTACCATGTGACCTGCTGTGACCAATCACAGCAGGTCACATGACAGTTGTATACAATGGATGGCTTCATTCATGCCATCCATTGTATACTACTGCCTAGCTGTAAATGGTCACAGCGATCACATGCACATGTCATGTGATTAGCTGTGGCCAAATCACAGCTAAGCACAAAAAAAAAAAAACCTGAATGAATCGATGTCATTCAGGTAAGTGCTTGCTTATAGCAAAGTAATTCTTTGCTATAAGCAAATTGTGTAAAAAAAAAAAAAAATACTGATGACTTCCCCAAAGTAGTACAATGTTACTATGGTAACATTGTACTACTTTGGTCATAGTAAAATATGAAAAAAAATCTTAAAAACATTTTTAAAAAATTTAATAAAAAATGTAAAATAAAAAAAATATATATATATATTTTTTTTTCATACTGTCACCAGTCAGTGTCCCTGATCACCGCCATGCCAGTTATATGATGATGCTGTACTGCACTGGTGACAGTGTGTAAAAAAAAAATAGTGAAAATAAAATTTTAATTTTTTCATCTTCCGAAAAATTATGACAAAAAAAATACAACTTCAAAAAACTCACCATGCCTCTTATGAAGTACATCGGACTGTCTGCTCTGCAAAAAGGGGTCATTTGGGGGATATCTGTACTGTTCTGACATTCTTGGACCTCAAGAAATTAGATTGGCCGTCAGTACTTCAGGATTGATCAATATTCAGATCTATTCTATAGTTTGTGAACTCTATAACTTTCCTACAAACTAAATGATACATCCTAATTTGGGTTATTTTCACCAAAGACATGTAGCAGAATACATCTGGCCTAAATTTATGAAGAACAATTATTTATTTGCAAACTTTTATAACAGAAACAAAGAAAAACGTGTTTTTTTTTTCAAAATGTTTGGTATTTTTTTGTTAATTTAGCAAAAAATAAAAACCCCGGCGATGATTAAATACCACCAAAAGAAAGCTCTAGTTGTTTGAAGAAAATGATAAAATTTTAGTTTGGGTACAATGTTGTATGACCGCGCAATTGTCATTCAAAGTGTGAGAGCGCTGAAACGTGAAAAATGGCCTGGGCAGGAAGGTGTAAAATTGCACGGTATTCAAATGGTTAAACACAAGTTCTTTTTTTAGCACTACTATTCCTTTATACTGGCTTTTGAAATTTAACATTGCAGAAATGTAAAAATTTGGATGAAAGGTCTAGCACTGGGAAACACTTTTTGGTAGATAAATAGTGAATTTTATGTTCAACTGTAGAAATCAGACCAAAATGAGTGACAAATGAGGAGGAAAGAGGGACAAAGGGAAAACCACTGCCCACTTCAGAGCCAAGAACTCCAACTGGTGGGTAGGATAGTTCTCAGTGGGTGTAAGGCCTAGTTCACACTAGATGCAGTTCAGTGCACTTTTTTTCTGTGTCAAAAATGCATGCACAGTGTTTTTCATGTATTCCAATGGCCCTAGTTCACACCAGTGCAGTCAGTTCCAGTCAGTTTCAAGTGCAGAAAAAAAAGTAGAACGTTGCATTTTTTTCTGCACAGAACCATACTGGAACATAGCAAACTTCACCGGAACTGTGCGTGGTGTGAACTGTAAGCAAAAACATATCCAGAATGTATCCAGAGTGCGTTTCTGTAGTGTGAACTGGCCCTAAGACTTGTGCTCACATAGGCAACAGGCCGCAGGTGTCCATCATGCTCTTGATACAACACCCCGCCTAACTTGTCTCAACTGGCATCGACATGCAGCTCATATGGTTTAGCTGGATCAGCACAGCCCGGAACGGGGGTAGTTGTTAAGCTCCACTTGAACTAACGGAAGGCTTGTTCACACTGACCAGTCCACTGATCTTGGATTGACTCCCGGTGATTTCTGGGCTCTCCAGGTTGTTTGACCGGTTTTTTTAAGTCCAGATCGTCGTCATTATCCTCACTCTTCAGTAATTCATTAAGCAGATAAGACCGAGCTATTTTACAAATCCCTCGACAAGTCTTCTATAGTATGAGCAAAGCCCCAGGAATGACCTAAGCTCAGTTACGTTGGTAGGTCTTGGCCAGGAGGTGACAGCTTCCAGCTTCTGGGGTCGGTAGCTATTCCTTCTGCGTAGACAACACATCCAAGGTACTTGACTGAAGGCTGATAAAACTGACACCTCTCTAGAGACAACTTCAACCCCTCATCATGCTGTCTCTTCACAACTTCCTACAGATGTTCCTCATGTTCTTCAAGGATTTTGCCAAAGAAGATGAGGTCGTTTAAATAAACCAATTCTTCGATCAGGTTCATATCTCCCACAGTTGTCTCCATCAATCTCTGAAATGTCGCTGGAGCTCCAGAAAGACCTTGGGACATCTTATCGAACTCGAAGAACCCCAGTGGGGTGAGGAAAGTTGTCTTCTTATCTTCAGGGTGCATGGGGATTTGATAGTACCCACTTTTTAAGTACAGCACACCTAACCGTTTTGCCCCCGACAGGCTCTGTAAGGCATCTTCTATTCTCGGAGCAGTGTACTGGTCAGGGATAGTTTTCAGGTAATCTCAGTAATCAATACACAGTCTTAGCGAACAATTCTTCCACACCACCACTATGAGAGAAGCATAAGGACTCCTTGACTCTCAGATCATGCCTGCTCTCGTTAGCGCTGCTAGTTTTTCACGGAGATCTTCCAGATCGCCCGGTGGGATCCATCGAACCCTCTCCCTGAATGGTATGTCTTCTTGAAGGTGAATCCAGTGTTGGGTACTCTGCTTACCCCATATCAAATTCACTCTATGAGAACATCTCCTGCCATCTCTGAAGGTGGGATCTGACTCTTTCCTCTCACTCAGGTGGGAGTGGGGTGGTTTGCAAGTAGAATGTCTCCATGGGAACTCCATATTTTGCTCCTCCCACCAAATTAGATGATGGGACTGGGGTGGCTGGATTCACTTGTCCTAGCAGCATTGGGGCCCACAATGTCAGTGGTGAGTCTGTGATGTTCTGGACAGTGATTGAAACCATCCCGTGACTTTGTTGCAAGGCTTTAGTTGATATCACTTCTGGGACTACCTCCACCCCCACGTCCTCTCCCCGGCAGCCAGCTTCAATTACAACAAAGAGGCCCAGTTGCTCCCAATTGAGCTTGACTGAGGTTCTTAGACACGACACCTCTCCAGGTTGTAGTATCTTCTCACTTCTGTCTAATTGCTATATATTCCCCACTCCTTCAGCTAGGGCTTTCTGTTCTTGAACTAGGAGCTGATATACTTGTTCCAGCATTGGGTGTATGCCCTTGGTTGGGGTGTCAGGCTCCAAGACAAGAGGCGCAAGTAGTC